AGCTGGATGGCTTCGGTGCGGGAGCCGGGCGGAGCGGCTTTTAGCGGGCGATCGTGCGGGAGGCGGGCGCTCGAGCGGGAAGCGGGATCGAGCGGCTCGTCTGTCGCGCACGAGAGGGAGGAGGCGGGGAGTGCGAGCAGGAATCTTCGGCGCTGGGAGGAGGCGAGCTTCCTGATTGCAGCGACCGGAATAAAAAAAGAATTGAGCGAAATGCCAACGGAAGAGAAGAGCTCCGAACAGGCAGAGGAAGTCGACCCCGAAGGAAGGAGCCATCCCTTCCTTTTTAGAATTGGAGCGGGGCAATAGCCGTTACTCTGGAACGATTGGGCGGGGAAATAAAATCATTTCCAAATGCAGGGGCAGGAAATAAATGGAAATAATTAACTCCTGAATTAATCTTAATTAAGACAAAAATTAAATAATCCATTTGAATTTTGAAATTTGAATTTCAAATTTAGGTGAGCTGGTGCCTAGCCCGCGTTCAGCCCGAGTCCAGCCTGAATCAAACTCGAGTCGGACCTGAGTTAAGCCCGGGCCCGCACACTGCTAAAAAAAAAGGTGCATCGATATCCATGCAATTCGCGCGAGTGTGGAACCACAACAATATGGGTGTCCTTTCTAGCTAAAGTAGACGTTCTGAACGCGTCGGCGCGGTCCGTTTCGTCATCCGAGGTCGTTCGAGCGAGTTTGTCAGCGGACGAGTCAAATCAAGTCAAAGTCGTGTGTGGTGCAGTGAGTGCGTGAATTGCGGCGTTTGCGAGTAATCGAGTCACAAAAGGTTCACATAAGGCCGTTTATCCTATAGGAACTCAATTTCAGGCCCTCTATATGTTGATCCTTAGCCCTTGCAACTAAAAGTTGAGTGCTTGGAACCACTCATGCGAGTTCTTCACAAAAATGAGTCAAGAAGTGACTTGAAGTTCTACGGGAGGTGGGCTCGATTACTAGTCCGCTAGGATGGTCAACCGGGAACTCCTAAGGCTAGTTTATGGGTTCTGGGAGTAGGAGACTAAGACCTCACAAAAATGAGGTCAACACCAACCCTAGCTCTTTGCCCCGAATAAGTGCTAGAGAGTTTTGGGTGAGTGTTTGAACTACCATTACTACGGATAAACCGTAGACCAGCCTGAGTCATGCAGGTGAACACCCTACACTTATGACAACAAAAGTTGATGCCAAGAGACTCCTAAATCAATGATCCTTGGACTAGAAATGACAAAAGAAGTGAGTGCCATAAGATTGGTACCTTGCTGAACGTGGGAGTTTGATGGGACAAAAGAGAGCAGACTATAACCAAGTAGCTTGATTAAACACTCAATTTGACTTTTAAGAGAAATAGAGTATTTCAGATTGTTCTAGGTAGAGGTTGGCTGTACTCTGTTGGATACAGAAGCTTGAAAGGTTTGGATGTAGGTTTCCCCTGGAGCTTCCAACCGTTATCACGAGTTTGGTTGGGTTTGTGACAGTAATCACAAGAAGGGTGACCAGCTCTGTGTGGAGCACTATTAGAGCACATACTTTGATAGACGGAGTAGAGACACCAAGCATGATAGGTCTCCGGCTCTGTGCGCAACGAATATCAGTGAAAGCAGCGCCAGTAGAAGGAAGAGGATCTCCACCAAGGGTACGATCCCAAACTTTGTTAAGATCTTTATTGAGGCAAGGCATAATTGCAATTGAGCCAATTGTGATGTTGGGATGTTGAGACATAATAAGATCCCTGATTGAGGGCAGGATAGGAGGAACCGACGGTTGGACAAGTTCCTGATCGCACCAAACGGGAAAAATCGACTTGGTGGATGGAGTTCATATCGGCGGAAGGGAGTTCCTAGCAACAGAAACAGTTGTTTGTTTGGATCAGGTAGTTCCGACGGCTGATCACACCAAATGGGAAGAACCGGTGCTGACTTCTTGGAGAAGAGGGGAAAACAATGCTTGCGCATTAGGTGTTCTGGAGACTGATTGCACGTACGGGAAAAAACCAGATAGGGTCTGCGGCATGAAGAGCGACAGGGAAAAAATTGGACTGACTGAGGCTGGCATTGAGTATTAGCGGCAGGAAGAGCGAAGCGGACAGACTGTGGCAAAGGAAGTTACAACTAGACGCTGAAGCATGAGCAGAAGTAGACGCTGATCTTGAGTGAAGCTGATGCAGATCGGAGTTGATGCTGAAGCATGTGTTCTGGAGACGGCCTAGAGCAGACGCTGAAGCAGGTGGCCTAGAGCAAGACTTGCCGGTTGAGGAGAAGTGGTCTGGACTAGCTAGCCGGCGGCACCTAGGTTAATGTAATGGTTTTGATATCGACATAGAACTAGGACAATCTTATTAATGCAAAGAGGGGCGGTATAAATATCTATTACATTATCTACCAGTAATGAAATAAATAAAAACATAATAAAAGGAAAAAGAAAAGTAAATCAAAGTAATTAATACAAAATTCTGCATATTAATATTCTAATATTTTGTATATAATAAAAGCAAGGTGTAAAAAAACAGATACAATTTGGAAAGGAACTGCATTAAAACTCAATTATGCCTACAGTAGTTTTGTAGTTGATTTTGCTGGTAGCAACTACCCCCAAACTCACCCTCGGTTGATGGCCAAATTGTGTTTGTATAGGATTGCTTAATACTGGAGCAGATCCAAACTGAGCAAAACCCACAAGGTTAGATTTTTAGTCTCCTAGTCCCACTTGTGGTGCCAGAATTTCTACTTTATGACCAAGTTTAGGAAGCTTGGCCGCCCGGCGGCCCACCGCATGTCAATGCTCAGGTCAGTTATGTCTGATATTCTCCCTCTCCTTCCTAATTTCTAGCTCCTTTGCGTTTTCTTATTGTTTTTACTTGTTCTTCCTACAGAACTATGGTGTCACAACTCGTGAAGCATGAGCGGATTGAAACAACAGTGGCCAAGGTAGCATTTGATTTTATTTTAATTTCCTTTTTTTGGTGTTGATTGGGCTTGGCATTTCGTCACTGATAATGGTCATCCAATTTTTTGAGGTCATTGATTTATCATTTTTGTTTTAAGAGTAATATTTTAGGGATAGAAAGCTTTATTTCATACACATACAGTTTGACTTCAATTCTACTTAATGCAAGGCAAAGGAAGTTCGACGTCTTGCTGACAGAATGGTACAACTCGGGAAAGAGGTATGCTTCATCCTCCCTTTTTTACTGAAGCTTAAAGGCATCTTCTTCATTGAAATCCCTGCAATTTTATTCTCCGAACCTATTAACAACTTTAATCATTAGAGGTGATATTTTGGACTTCCAATGTTGATAAGTTTGTTTACTTTTTCTGGAAAAATTACCATATTGAAGTATATGCCTGCTTGCTTTTGTGTTTATCTCAATGGTTGATATCTATTTGTTTGCAATGATTATTATAGGGTTTGAAGTGCCCTGTTTGTGGGTTAACCGAGTTTTTCATCTAAATGCGTTACCCTGAAAAGTAGATGCTTTAGTTCAAGTTTTAAAGCAACAATATTGATCTTATTACTTATTGTAAAAGTATAATGCCGTTCTTCCTTGTTTCTTTGGATGCAAGGTCAGTGATGATTTGTTTTAATAAAAAATTGTTATGAAAGATAACATGATAGCCTTGGAGGTTTTTCTTAAGCTTTTTTTCATCTTATTAAATGCAACCACCATCTTCATTTTTCTTAGGCATGTTCTTACCCACGATGGGATATTTCTATGCATTTTGGAAGTGATTCCATGTGGTATTGCAAGTGCTGATATTGATTGAATTTTGTCTGTTCTTTCCTATTTTAAATACTATTGTCTATTATTGTATTTTTTGTCATCTTATTATACTGTCATGAAGTGTCATATAATGTGTGTGCCTTCAAATTGGTTCTTATAAAATGCAATAGAGATTTAATCGACCAATAATCTCTAAAGCCCATAGCTCAAAGATGTTTCTTTAAATGAATTGTGAATTCAAAAAGCTTATTTTAATTTTGGGGGAGATCAAGGGATTCTAAAGGAGCTAACCCTTAAGGTTAATTACATCTTGGGAATATTTGAAAAAAAATATTAAAGAATTTGCATGTGCTCATTTTGGGCAGGGCAATTCAAGATCCAAGTTCAAAGAGATTTTGGCAAATGGTTGTATGAAATCTTGGGCTTTCTAGTCCGCTAGGATGGTTTAGTTCAAAGGAGACCACCTAGGAAAAAGGAAAATGGACTTACATGTCGAAAATACCAGATAATGAATTTTATTTTATTGGAGCAACTAGGGTCATGGCTCCTTGAGTTGCAAGAAGATTGTTTTCCCAATTGAAAAGATGGCTATGAGGAGCAGATTGATAAGGCAAACAATCTATCCTAAATGTTTATGGGAATGGCCTTAGTTTAGATCCCATGGTTCCTTTGAAGGCCCTTGCCTTCATTGTCAAAGAGGTAGTTTACTCACCTGACTATGAAGATCCTTGTCAGTAGCCATGATTTGCATTGTCTAAGAGAATCTCATAGACTTGGGATGTATGCACAAAAGGGAGAATTAGAATACAAGAGAAGAACTAATATTAAAGATGAGAATTAGCTTAAAGGATACGAGGACTAACATAAAGGATTTGAGGATTAACCTGCTGGACGAAAATGCTAACGTAAAGGATTGAAGGATTAGCCTAAAGGATAGGAAGATGGTCCTAGTTAAGTTTCTATGGTTTTTCATTTTTTCAGCTCTTTAAAGCTCTTGGTCCACTTAACTAAATTAACTTAAAGGATATGAGGACTAACATAAAGGATTTGAGGACTAACCTGATGGATGAGAATGCTTAAGGATTGAAGGATTAGCCTAAAGGATAGGAAGATGGTCCTAGTTACGTTCCTATGGTTTTTCATTATTTCAGCTCTTTAAAGCTCTTGGTATACTTAACTAAAAGTTAACTCAATTTAACTTCTAATATTCTTCAGAATAACAATGAGTTACACTGTCCAAAGGAGCTTATATGTTTTGAGGGGTAGGATAACGCATACATAGTTTAAGGTTGATGGACGAGATTTATACTTCACAATAAAAGGAGAAGCCCAGATTGGACTCATATTACCACTTTGATAGTACATGCCTTGATTGACATATGAAACAGAGGCTCTTCAAGCTAAAAGTGGAGCAAAAAAGAAAGTCTTCTATATTATGAATACACCCATAGAGGCTAAAGAGAGAGAAACTTTATTGCTTACTCCTTTTATGTGAATTATTAGATACATGCAAACTTACGAGTCCGTGTCATGACATGAGTCAACTTGGCTCTATGCTAAGAAGTTACTCGTGTAAGTTCAGCATGACAACCCATATGTTTGGTCACTTTATTGCTATAAATACTGATTAAGCATGCATAATTTAAGAAAAGTTTGATCTAGAGAGGTTATGCAATTATAATTTGGGGCATTCACATACATACCACCCAATACCTATATTTATTTACATATCTCACACATAAGTTTTGTTTTTTACGTTCCTCCCACCCAACTTTTATATCACATCAAAATACCATTATTATAACCTTTAAAATGTGAAATATACCATTTCGTGCATAAGGTGTCATATATGTAAAACTTATGTTATGTAAACACATAGGAATTGAATGGTATGTTTTTAAACCCGTAGAAATTGAATGGTTAACTCAATTTAACTTGTATTATTCTAATCAATAACAATGAGTTACACCGTCCAAAGGACCTTATAGGTCTAGAGGGGTAAGATAACACATACATAGTTTAAGATTCATGGACGAGATTTAACTCCACAATCACACAATCAAAGGCCCAGATTAGACTCATATTACCACTTTGATAGTACATGCCTTGATTGACATATGATTGACATATGAAACAGTAGGCTCTACAAGCTAAAAGTGGAGCAGAAAGGAACTCTTCTATAGTATGGAATACACCCATAGAGTCTAAAGAGAGAGGGACTTCGCATATAATTAAGGTGTGATTCTTAGCCTAAAACTATTGCAAATAAACACATTGCAACTTATTAGTTGAAGTTTTCATGAGAGGCTAATGAAGCCTAACATTTGGCTTACAATCTTGCATGAAATGGACAACCGTATAGACTCATTTAGGCACTTTTAAAATGTTAGGTCGTTTTTCTCATGTAGTTATGTATGAATAAGATTTACTCTAGGGTTAGTTTCAGTTATTAGGTTTCTCGGGATTGAGTTCTCTGAGTATTGGCTAAATGTTGGAGCGCATATGCTCCTCAAGTTCCCAAGTATTAGTTCAACTTAGGTTTGCATATTCAATTAGCCAATCTATATATTTTGATATTTTTGGTGTATACATCGTAATAAAATGGAATGAAGCCGTCTCTTTTTTATTAAACATTCATAGAAAATACATAAAAATTTATAAGAAAAGCTGGAGGCTGTCTCCGCTCAATTTGTACGCCCCTGGGCCGACCCTTTGCTCGATGATGAACAATCTGACTCATGTCTGGTCGAGCTAACAGACGGGCTGCTTGCTTGCGGCCAGATTGACCTTCTTCAGCCCGAGATCTTCAAGTGCAAAGTTCTTCTTCAGGACATGCTCGTAGTAGCGTGCAATGCGTCTCTTTACTTCCTTCTGACGGAGAGCAGATATGGTGCAGATCTTCTCCACCAAATTTAACGCAAGTGTTGTTCTCTCGTCATTTGCTTTCTGCCACTCTATCAAGTCATTAAAAGCTAAAGCAGTTACCACTTGTTGACTGTGGCGATTGTACTTGTACTGGTAACATAGCCTCCATCTTGTACAATAACATAATGGCGTTTGTCCTGTGGTGGTCGACGACATTGTTCGGGTCGCCTAAAGGATGGACTGTAGGACATCGCCCCATTTCCTCTTTATCTCCTTTAACTTTTTTTCTCAGTAGGTTCAAAATTATTTTGTTAGCAGCTTCGATCTGTCCGTTGGTTAAAGGTTGATGTACTGACACATTTTAGTTTGATGCCTTGGCTTTGGTAGAAGTCTTTCACTTCTTTGTCCGTGAATTGGGTTTCATTGTCTGTGATGAGGACGAGTTGCTGTCTATACCTGCAAATGAGGTTTGTTTAGATAATGTTCTAAACAATCTCCGTTATTATGTGAGTGAGCAGCTTTGCTTCTATCTAATTAGTGAAATAATCCACCGTGACTTGGAGAAACTTATGCTGGCCTTTTGACAGTGAAGTGACTTTAGGATATCGATTCCCCAGTCAGTGAAAGGCTAGGGACTGACGATCGGCTGCAACCTTTGGGTTAGCTGATGTTGTAGTGGTGCGTTCTTCTGGCACTGCTCGTACATCTTTGAGAATTTTTCTCTATCATTTAGGAGTGTTGGTCAGAAGCATCCTTCTTGCTCGTACCTTTTTGAGAATTTTTCTGTATCATTTAGGAGTGTTGGCTAGAAGTGTGTGCATGGGTCTTTCATCCTGATTAACTTCCACAACTCCTGAATGTATCTCTCGTAGGAGATTCCTCTTTTCACCCTCGCACATGCATCTCAAATAAAGAGAGGTGGTCGACTTCTGAAAGAATTTTCTTTCAATCAATAGGTATTGGGCGGCCTTGCATTGAGCCTTTTTGGATTGGTGATTTCTTCCTCTATTTTTCTAGTCTACAGGAAGTGGGCGTAAGGATCCATATAGCTACTAACTTGTTCAGTCTGCACCTTTATTACTTTGGATTCCTCGAATGTTGTTCACAATAACTTTCGAGCCTTCCCTTCCCTCAAGAAGATACACTTAGAAAGGATGTCCACCTATTGATTGGCCTTCGTGGTCATGTGCTCTATTCTGAAATTGACAAATTTTCAAATTTCAGCTTTGGCTTTGCTGAGATACTTAGCCGTCATTTGCCTCTGGCTTCGAATTCTTTGTTTACCTGGTTCACCAGCTGGGAGTCTAACTTTACGTGCAAATGCCCGGAGCCGAAGCCGTAGGCTAGACGCAATTTGACAATGAAGGCTTTGTACTTTGCCTGGTTATTGGTGACCTCAAACTCAATGGCTATCGAATGGTAGTATGCTCTCCAGTTGGACTGCTCAAAGCCAGTCCTATTCCTTCTCACCCATGATTAGAGGCTCCATCGAAGTACAAGGTCCATGTCATTCAGTCGACATTGGTCCCTTCGCTTGGCAAGCACTGTTCCATGAAGTTTACCAGGAAATTTGTTGCCGC